GACCGTTTGAGGGAAGGCCAAGGGATGATTACAAACCTACTCGAGGTGATAGAGCAGATGTCAAACGTCCAGAAGATAATCTACGGCCAGAAGGTTCATTCGAGGGCCGTCCAAAAGATGATTACGGTCCTAAACGCGCTGAGAAACCAGTAGTAAAACGTCCAGAAGACAACTTGAAACCTGAGGGAGTATTTGAAGGGAGACCAAGAGACGATTACAAGCCGACTCGTGGTGATAGAGCTGATGTTAAACGTCCAGAGGATAATTTGAAACCAGAAGGCCCATTCGAGGGTCGTCCCAAAGATGATTATTCTCCTAAACGTGCTGAACGTCCTAAAGTAATACGCCCTGAAGATAATTTACGGCCAGAAGGGCCATTCGAGGGTCGTCCAAAAGATGATTACATTCCTACGAAAGGCGATAGAGCTGATGTCAGACGTCCCGAAGACAATCTGAGACCTGAAGGTCCATTCGAAGGTAGACCCAAAGATGATTACGGTCCTAAACGTGCTGAGAAACCAGTAGTAAAACGTCCAGAAGACAACTTGAAACCCGAAGGAGTATTTGAAGGAAGACCAAGGGATGATTATAAGCCAACTCGTGGTGATAGAGCTGATGTGAAGCGTCCAGAAGATAATTTGAAACCAGAAGGACCATTCGAAGGTCGTCCCAAAGATGACTATTCTCCTAAACGTGCCGAACGACCAGAAGTTAAACGTCCAGAGGATAATCTCCGTCCAGAAGGTGATTTCGAAAGACCAGAAAAATCTCCGGTTGGTCCTGCTGAACGTCGTTCACCAATTAAACACCCAGACAATCTTAAACCTGAAGGTGATTTCACTGGTAGGCCCAGAGACGATTTTAAACCAACGAAAGGTGAACGAGCTGATGTCAAAAGACCTGAAGATAATCTCAAACCAGAAGGTCCCTTCGAGGGCCGTCCGAAAGACGATTATGTTCCAGTTCGTGCTGATCGTCCTGAAATTGTCAAACGCACTGATAATCTTCGTATGGAAGGGGACATTGAAACTTACAGGTCTCGTGACGATTACACCGATTTTCTTATCCGTGAACGTGTTGAAGTTACAAAATACGAGGACAATCTTCGTATGGAAGGTGTGTTCACTGATACCAGAACCAGAGATGATTTCAAGATTGTCAGAGGTGATCGTGCAGACATCATCCGTCACCCAGATAATCTCAAATCTGAAGGACCATTCGAGGGTCGTCCCAAGGATGATTATTCACCGAAAAGAGCTTCGCGTCCAGAGATAAAAAGACCTGAAGATAATTTGAAACCAGAGGGTGATTTTATTGGTCGTCCGAAAGAAGAAGCACCCAAACGTGGTGACAGAGCTGATATCAAAAGACCAAAAGACAATTTGCATCCAGAAGGTGATTTCGAAAGACCAGAAAAATCTCCATATGGTCCAGCCGAACGTCGTTCGCCAATCAAACACCCAGACAATCTTAAACCCGAAGGTGAATTCACATCGAG